TTTTTTTTTTTTTTGGCAGAACCGGGGATTAAACTCAGGCCCTTGTGCTTGCCAGGCAAGCAATTATTCTACTAAGCCATCTCCCTGGCTCCGTCTTTCTTCATAGAATTAAAATACTATATTAAACTACTGTAACAGGAAGTACTCTACTAATAATAAATATTAAGTATCTTCAGTCTTCTATCTTATAAAACTTTAATATTTTAAGGAAAAAAAAGGCCTCATTTCTTTCTCTCTTTTTAATGTATTTAGTACAGGGTCTATAGGGCCTTACTATATAGATTGGACTCATAATGATTCTCCTGTTTTCAGCCTCCCAAACCCTGGGATTACTGGTGTACACCACCATGCCCAGTCTCAATCACTGTCTCAGTGATTCCCCGGGGGGCAGGGCCAGCAGAACACACCAGGGAGGGGATCGAGCCCCAGCCACTATATCTGCCTAAGCAGGCACTTTAGTCTGGCTGGCCCTTGATAGTGGAAATTTAAAGACAAACCCTCTGATTATTTTTTTTCCCCCTTGTAAAGTGGTAGGACATGGTTCTTTGCAAACTTGAAAAAGAATGCAGTTTAAGTTAGCCATTGTGGAAAATGACAAAGATATCTGCCTAGAAAAATGTAAGAGAACATCTGGACAACTCTGAGGGCCTTATTTAAAAACAAAAACCAGAATTATTATTTATACTACTAAGGTCTGCCTTTGTGAAGTAGTCTCTACTATCATAAACAGTTTGGATGTAGTGTAGGTGATGTTGGAAATAAAGACTTTAGATACATAGCCATGAGAATAGTAGAAACATGGACTGTAGAACAGAAGTCCTCTACTGAAGGAAATGAAAATAGCAGTGATATGAAAGTCCTAATGAAAAAGAAGAGTAAGTGCAGTAGGTGACAGTGAGTGGGAGAACTAAATGGATTGGAAGCTATGAGCAGAGATTGAGATGGTTGAATTTAATATTTCAGAATTACATAGTGTTTCAGGAGAGAAGTTTACAGATATATGAAAGGGATGGTTGCAGGAGAATAAGGAAAAATAAGTGGAAACAAGGTGGTCAAGGACCTGATGGGCTATCATGTTGAGATGTTCATCTTCATGAACACTGGCTCAGGCAAGTGCTATAGAAGAGAAAACTAACAAGAGGAGAATCCCTGGGTGCTGGTGGGTGACAGCAAATGCAGGGGTTGTCAGAGGAGACAGCGTTGTACTTGATGGTGGAATAAAAGTAGTTTGGAAACAACATAGTTAAGTGAGGCAAGGGCTGGCCAAATGCTCAGCTAGTTAAAGCACCTGCAAGCAGGCACAGGGGTCAGGGGTTCAATCCCTGAGCCTGCTGTGCCAGCCCTGCCCCCGGGGCGTGCTGAGAGGTGATTGAGACTGGGCATGGTGGCACACACCTGTAATCCCAGCTCTTGGGAGGCTGTAAACAGGAGAATCACTGTAAATCCAATCTAGTAGTGAGACTCTGAACACCCTGTAGACCCTTCCCTAAAATACAAAACTAAATAAATAAATAAAAACAAGAAATAAAGTGAGAGAAACGCTGAATCCATTTCCTAACTTAGTGGCAGGTAAGATATTTGCTGAGATATCTGGTAGAGGATTAAAAGTATTCCAGAGCCAAATTATCCAGTAGAGCTTCCTGTAATGCTAGATATCTGCACCATCTAACAAGACAGCTGCTGTTCACATGTAGCTCTTGAGCACTTAAAGTGTAGCCTAGTGAAATTGAAGAACTGAATTTTAAATTCCACTAAAAATGCTAGTGATGCAGATTGGGGGTTTGATCCCTGGGCCTATTGGGCCAGCCCCACCCCCAGGGCGCTCTGAAAAGACAGTTGTGACTGGGTGTGGTGGCATACACCTGTAATCTCAGCTCTTGGAAGGCTGTAAGCAGGTGGATCACTATGAGTCTGATCTAGTAGTGTGAGACCTGCACACCCTGCAGACCCTTCCCTAAAATGCAGGCAAAAAAAAAAAAAAAATTCTAGTGACTACCATTTTGGTTAGTCCAGCTCTAAAATGTTCACTTATTGTGCATCTAAGAAGCAGAATCTAAAGATACTAAGTATTAACAAAGTTATTAAGTATTACTACTAATAGGGATAATTTTGGGGCTGGAGTGAGGATTGTAGGAGCAGAGAGGAAACAAAAATAAAGGCAAAGGAAGAATTTTAAAGACTTAACAGTAGACTTACATGGCATATCAAGTTAATAATAATAATAGTTAATAGTATTAAAAGTTAATGTTAAATTTCAAAAGCATAAGATATGGGAGAAGATAGAATGGCTTTAAGAATAATGGGCAAGATAAGAATGTAAAAGAAAGAAAGTTGATAAATTCAGTTTTTTACATCCTTGATAAAGGAAGCATTTAAAAATTTTTTACTATGTATATGTTTGCAGTATATAATGATTACATTCGTCATGGAGAGTTGGTACTTGTACATAACACATTTTAATTCTTTTTAAAATAAATGTTTTTAAATTAAAGGAGAGTCCACTACTCCATTATATAACCAAAGATACCTTTTATGATAAGTAAAATAAATTTTTATAAGAAATTTAAAATTTTTTAATGTTTGAAAAATAATTGCCTTTAGCTTTGCCTTATGAGTGGAGAAATCATTCAGATGTCCCCTCAGATGAGCCTGATCTTTGAAGCAATGGACCTTTCCCAAGCTTCAGTAAGTTCATAATTTAATGCAATAGCGGTTTATGTGTTTTTTTCCATTTGTTCACTTGTTCATTCATCAATTTAGTCAAAAGTAACTTTTGTTATGTGTCACAAAATGGGTTTGGAACTGGGAATACAAATAACAAGACACAGTATAAACTTAGGAGGGACGAGAAGCATGCTAATAAATCCCAGTACACAGTTACACAGTGTAAGGCCTCTACTGTAAGGCCTGAATTGAACATCCACAGGGGAACAAGCAGAGAGCAACCATGAAAGTCTTTGAGCGATTTTTGCTTTGAGGAAGATAGAAGATTTCTCCAGGGAGCTTGGTTGGGCCTGGGCATTCCAAACGATGACATGATGATATACAAAGAAAGACACGAAATGCCAAAGAACAGAACTAAAAATAGCTTTCCATGCGGGTAGCGTCTAGTGCACATGAGGCTGTAGAAGCAGACAGAAGCCAGATCATGAAGAACTACACAAGTTTTGCTAAGAAATAGTGGGCAATTTCTAGACACCACTGTACAAGTGTAAACAAAACTTGTCTCTCTCCTCTAGCCTGCCACGGTAAGTCGTTGTGGCATGATTTATTTGGAGCCCTCACAGCTAGGATGGGAACCACTTGTGTCTTCATGGTTGAATTCACTGAAAGAACCTCTGTGTGAACCAGAACACCAAACTCTCCTGAGTGGGCTTTTTGACTGGCTGATAACACCTGCTCTAAGGTTTCGTAAGAAACACTGCAAGGTAACACTATAATTCTCTGACCCACTCAATTTTCCAGATTCCACTCAGCTTAACTAAGTTTAGAGTGATGATCATAATTAAAACTATTTTTCTCTTTATGATTTAGTGTCCCAACTTTTGTTTTATATTGCTTAATTATAGCTGAATAACTTAGAAGGTAAATTTATTCCAGCGGAACTATTTGCACCAAGCCATTGTATTTATTTATTTATTGAATTTAGGACAGGGTCACATCACTACATAGATCTGATTTGTAGTGATCTGCCTGTTTTCAGCCTCCTAAATGCTGGGATTATAGGCACTTACCACTATGCCCAATCTCAGTTGCCATCTCAGGGTGCCCCTGGGGTGGAACCAGCATGGCATGCCGGGGATCAAACCCTGGCCCCTGCACTCTGCCAAAGTAGGTGCTGTAGTCCACTGAGCTATCTGACTGGCCCAAGCCATTGTACTTAAAGCTGTAAAAATCTAAAGTATCTTTTACCCTTTAAAATACTTAGAATATATGACCTTATAGGCTCACATGTGCATTTACTCTTATATTACATATTGTGTTACTTCCCTAACATTGTCATAAATTACCCCAAATTTGATGGCTTAAAACAACAGAAATCTGTTCTCTCAGTTTGGGGGACTCTAAATCTGAAATCAAGGTGTTGGCAGAGCTGTGCTTCCTTTGAAACTCTGAGAGTCTTAATCTCTTCCAGATTCTAGTGGTTCCAGAAATTTCTTGGTCTGTGGCGGCCTTACCTTTAAATATCTTCTTCCAACTCTTCATGGCCTTCTACTCTGTGTTTCCTCCTCTGAGAGAACATAACCACTTACAGTCTTGGATTTAGTGCCTACTGGGTAATCCAGAATGACCTCTGTATCTCAAGATCATTAGTTACAACTGCAAAATCCTTTTTCCTATAAGACTATGTTCATAAATTCCTGAGATTGGGACGCTAAATTTCATTTTGGGGCTTACTCCTGAAATCTCATGACCACACACAGACACATCACACATACATACTTACAAATGAGTAAATAAATTGATATACAGAGAGAAGAGATATTCAGTAGATTTCTCACCCTAAATATTATTTCAGAAATAGGAAAGTTGTGAGTCATAAAAGTTAGTGAATGGGCCAGTGAGATAGCTCAGCAGACTAAACGCTTGCTTACACAAGCATAGGAACCAGTGTTCTATTCTGGCACCACATGCTGCTGGTGTGCTGAGCTGGCCACCAAGACTGGGTGTGGTGGTGCATGCTTGTAATCCCAGCACTGGGCAAGCTGTGTACAGAGACCCTGTGCTAGACAGATAGGTAGATAGATAGATAGATAGATAGATAGATAGATAGATAGATAGATTAAATTTACTGAGACATAGTGAGATTAACACAAGTTACTTTTGGCCTCTGAAATTACAAAAGGTGTCCGTAGAGAGAAGGCCTGTAGCTTGCAGACTTTCATTAGTATGGCAAACTGCTGCTTCGGTAACCTTGATCTTTGAGATTACTGCATATACATTTTCAATTTCTTATCTAAGGGCCAGCAGTGTACGAGGCTTGCTTGCTTGCTTTCTCTTTATCTCTTTTTCTTTCTTTCTTTCTTTCTTTCTTTCTTTCTTTCTTTCTTTCTTTCTTTCTTTCTTTCTTTCTTTCTCTTTCTTTGTTTTTCTAAATATATGTGTCCTTAGTGTGAGACACTGAACGAGTAAGTAAGGTCTACAGTAGATTTTTTTTTTTTTTTTTTTTTTTTGGTGGAACTGGGGATTGAACTCAGGCCCTTGAGCTTGCCAGGCAAGCACTTATTCCACTGAGCCATCTCCCTGGCCCCTGTATAGTAGATATTGCAAAATGGGAAGAAATTGTCCAAAAGGCAGAAGGAACAAGGATGCTTGAAAAGGAGAAGTGTGAAGGTTTTCTGCAATATACAATGTCCTCTAGTGTTCCCCTCACCAGGGTCACATGGTCAGTTAAAGAACTATCATACCATTTTTCCTTTCTTGAAGTATTCAGCAGATTCTTACTGCTTCCCTGGGGGCCTGTTTTGTTCAGCCCTTTCCCATTTGCCCGAGTCTGGGCTCCACCTACCCTGAGAGTTCCTCTGTCACATAATTCATATTACACCATATTATTTTTGTCTACTTAGTTTTACTATTGCTGCTTTTCAGCTGTCTTTATTTCTGTATCCCTAGCTTGGTCTATAGGTATGTAGATTTATATGTCTTTCATAAATGTTTTGTTGAATAAATAAATGAGCATATGGCTATAAAAGACTCCATTTTTGTTATCCTTAGGACATTGTTTTTTACAGTTGCTAGTTTTCATTTAGAATATATTATGTATAATTTTATAATATGGTGGCTAAAGTAAAATATTTGAGAAACATTTTTATCATGGCTACAGTTTAAATTCTTTAAGTTTAATGTTAGAAACTTTTTTAATGGTAGCAAATATTGTTAAAGAAACAGGCTTTATAGAGCAAGTGTAGGCCGAGTAAAAGTAAAAAAAGAAATATACCCTACAGTATTAGGGTGGGCCACCGTACAAGAAAGAACACAGTGGCCCAAATATTATAAATTTAGTAAAATTTTGTTTGTTTGTTTTTAAGACAGGGTATCATTATGTAGTTCAGACTGGCCTTGAACTTTCACTATGTAGCGCATGTTGTTGTTTTCTTGAGAAGATGGGTGTCTCTGGGAATTGAACTCAGAACCTCATGCTTGTCAGGCATGTGCTGTGCGGCTGAGCTACATCCCTAACCCCTAACCCAGGCTGGTATTGAACTTGAGGTGACCTCCTGCCTCAGCCTGCCTGATGCTGCAATTACAGTTGTGCACCACTGCATTCTATTTTTTAAATGAGTTATTTCCCTTCTTTTATTCTTTAAATAAGATGAAAGTTAATTGAACTATCTCATTCTTTTCATTTTGCAGGAACTGTTTCCTACAAGTAATAGTAATGTGGTTGTATCTCTCACACGCCTTTTTGAAGTACTACTCTGTAACGTGGTAGAAAGTGAACCTACAAGCAAGCACATTCATGTTTGGATTATGGTTAGTTTAGTATTTATTTTTTATTTATTTTTTTAAATGTATTTAGTACCAGGTCTACAGGGTCTTATTACACAGATCAGACTTGTACTGATCCTCTTGTTTCAAGCCTCCCAAGCACTGGGATTACAGGCGCGCACCACCATGCCTAGTTTCAGTTGCTATCTCAGCACGCTCCGGGGGCAGGTCTGGCATGGTAGCAGAGGATTGAACCTGGGTTCCTGTGCTCTGCCTAAGCAGGCGCTTTAGTCCATTGAGCTTTCTGGCTGGCCCTTTAGTTTTACATTTAATGTAGGTTTATATTTATTTATTTTTTTAATGTAGGTTTAAAATACAGTACAAAAATGTACTTCTAGAAAATAATATTTGTATTCAGAAAGATGTTTACAGGGCCAGTCAAATAGATCAGCAGATTAAAGTGCCTGCAAAAAATAAAATATAAAAATAAATAAAAAATAAAGTGCCTGCAAGCAGGCGCAGGGGAAGGGTTTCAATCCGGCCCCACCCTGCCTCCAGGACAAGCTGAGATGGCAATGGAGACTGGGCGTGGTGGCGCGCACCTGTAATCCCAGCTCTTGGGAGGCTGTAAACAGGCAGATCACTAGAGTCTGATCTAGTAGTGAGACCCTGAACACCCTGTAGACCCTTCCCTAAAATACAAAAAAAAAAAAAAAAAAAGACATTTACAGCATCCGAGAAGCTTTTTGGTGATCGCTGAAAGAACAGCTGAAGACACTAAAGTTGGTCTGACTTGGTATTCTGATGCAAAAAAAAAAAGTATTTTAGCATACAATGCATAATATGAATCAAAGCTACCTTTTATGTATAATAGATCAAAGTGTGATAAACACTTAAAATGATTTAGTTTTGACTTTAGGCAAAATAATTTTGTCTTAATGTTAAATCAGCAGGTGGGCAGCGCTGAAAGTAGCTACGCAAGCAGCTAGGTGGAACCTTGCAAGCAGCAGCCTCGGAGAAGTCCCTAGTCCTGCTTAGCTAAAGTCAGGTTGTCAGGAAGACCAGAGGCCCTGGCAGCAGTGGGGAGAAATTAGCAAAGGGGGCCGAGGGAAAGAGCTTTCCGTTTTATTTTGGTTTTGGCCTTTTTCTTGGTCTGCACCTCTTTCCCATCTGCCACCTCTTTTTTTTTCCTTTGGTCAGCTTTCAATTTTTATTTTATTTTCCATAAGACCCAGTTGTACATCTATTAATATACAAGTGGCAAATAAAATCTGTATACCTTCTCTCTTTTCAGTCTTTTGTCAGTTTAATTTGAATGTAAAAGAAAAGAAAAAATATTTCTTCTCTACAGTTTCTTAGAACCCTGTAAAAGTAACCAATGGGATATTTTTAAAGTATCACAGACTCATAGATTTTAACATATTTATGTTATTTCCAATCCTTTGCAGTAAGTATTCTTATATATTTTCATCTTTGACCAAAGGAAACCTCCTCAAGACAACTCTATTTATTTATTTATTTATTTATTTATTTAGGAACCGGGGATTGAACTCAGACCCTTGTACTTGCCAGGGAAGCACTTATTCTCCTGAGCCATCTCTCCGGACCCTTCAAGACAACTCTTGAACCCACAGACATGTCCTCAATAGTCTCTGATATCTTTGTTACTTCCTTAATAACAAAATGTCCAAGCACAGTTTGTATTATTTCTGTTACAGAACTTTTTTTTTTCCAGAACTTTTATAAGGAGTTTTTTTTTTTTTTTTTCTGATTTTCTTTCTTTCCTTTTTTTTTTTGGTGGAACCGGGGATTGAACTCAGACTCTTGCACTTGCCAGGCAAGCACTTATCCTACTGAGCCATCCCCTGGTCCCTTTTTTATTTCAAAGAAAAATATACAATGAAAACAGTGGCATAAAATTTCAAAACAAGATTGTAGAAGAGTCACAATGGTCAGTATATTGTATTTTATTATCTTCAAAGTAGTTGCCCAAATTAGAAGATATAGGCATGAAAAATGGATCAAGCAATATAGGCACATTCCTTTCCTTTCCGGAGCGAATAGCAATTAGTAGGATAACTATCTCAACTATCATCATTCGTATTTCCCTCCCTTCTTTTCTCCATTTCTCCACTCCAGTTTCTCTTTCCTTTTGAGCATTTTCTTCCCATTTCACAATATCTATTATATCTTTCGAATTTTACTTACTCTTTCAGCTTCTTACACTAGGGAGACAGTATGATGTGTATGCAGGTGAGACTAACTTATTTCACTTTTAAGTATGGACTCAGATCTCCATTTCCCTAGAAATGTCTCAAGCTTGTCCTTCTTAATAGCTGAGTGATACTCCATTGTATAAAAACACCACATCTTTTCTATCCATTCCTCAGTGGATGGGCATTTAGGTTGTTTCCAAGATTTAGCTATGACAAATTGTGCTGCTGCCACCTTATTCTTTTTTTTTTTTTTTTGAACCAACTCAAAGGATTTATTTTTGACACAAATACGTAACCTCAACATGAGATGTCTAACTGCAGCAAGCGCTTCCAGAGTTCAAGGCAGCGTCTCCTCTTCTAGGGCTTAGGTTTTGCCCAGAACTCCCGATACATGGAATAGCCCATCCCAAGGGTCATTGCGCCCACAACGAAGCCTTGGGCTGCCACGCGCATGTGGATCAGGTGCACGGACATTTTAGTGTTTCCCCTGCTCTTCAGTTTGTATAATCCATACGCGACAATTGCTGCGAAGCCTGCCATTCCAATAGGGACAAACGGTGCTTCTTTAGCCTTTCGGATAAGTTTGGATCCCTGGTCTTCATCATATGAAGAAAGAGAAACATCTGTGTTGCTTGACATGGTGACTGCTTGAAGACTCTTCCTGAAAGAGAGCGAAAGCCGCCCAACACCCCAAATTCCGCGGCTTGCTGGTCTCCGCCGGCGCACCACGCTCGCAGCTCTTCGCCCCGCCCCGCCCCCCCCCACCTTATTCTTAATGCCTTGAAGTTTTCTACTCATGGTCTCTTCTACTCTAGGTAGGGGGCCTGCGGTTTAGCCCAGTTGTTTAAATGCCTGCTTATGCAAACACAGTCAGGCACAGGATACTGTGGTTCGATCCCCAGATCCTATTGCCTTTACCAGACCTGCATTTAAGGCATCCTGAGTCAGCCCCCCACAAAAAAATCCCTCTACTCTGGGTAGCACTACAGTAGTCCCTCGATATTTTGCAGCTTGACTTTCCTGAACTCACTGTTTTGCGGGTTTAAAAAAAATATTAATCTAAATTATCTATCATGGAGTTTTTGCTCTATCACTGGATTTTGCAGTACTGTACAGTATACATATGTTAAAATTGCGTAGGTTTACGAGTTTAGAAAATGGTGAAGAACATTAGAAATGTTTTTAAAAGTGTGGGGGGAAGGTTTATAAGAGTGTGAAAGGTGTACAAAGCCTTAAAATACATATAAATACTAAAATAAATGTAACCTTGCTGCGCCGCTGATTTTCACGTCTCGCGGGGGTGTGGGGAACGCAGCCTCCGCGGTGAGGGGCCGCTGTACTCCCCATTATGTCCCCTTCACCCCGTTGCCACAGGAAATGCTTTTCCCCAGACAGCTCACATTTTCCAGGACACTCTGCTGACTGTAACTTCTTCCTTTCCCCTCCCTTCATCCTCCCCCACCTTAGAGAAAGTTAAACAGATATATTTGAAGTACAATTTTTTTTCCTTTCTAGTCTTGGAACTTTTTCACAGGCAGTTCTCAGTATTCTTTCACACCTATTATCATTACCTTAAAAAAAATATAGGGCCGGGGGGATGGCTCAGTGGAATAAGCACTTCTCTGGCGAGTGCAAGGGCCTGAGTTCAATCCCCGGTTCCGCAAAAAAAAAAAGAAAAAAAAAAGAAAAATATCCCAGGGGGGAGGAATATATATATATATATATATATATATATATATATATTTTAGGGAAGTGTCTACAGGGTGTTCAGGGTCTCACTACTAGATTGGACTCACAGTGATTCTCCAGTTTACAGTCTCCCAAGCCCTGGTATTACAGGAGTGCGCCCCCTCGTCCTGTCTCAATTGCCATCTCAGCTGTCCCAGGGGCGGGGCAGCCCGCAGGCTGGGGATCAACCCCCAGCCCCTGCTTGCGGGCGCTTTAATCCGCTGAGCTATTTGGGCGGCCCTTATATTTATATTGCCTCAAAATATTTGCTTTTTTGGCAAACCCAAACTCCCAACATTTCAAATGGTTGAGAGTCATTTCTAAAGACTTACATAGGATGAAAATGTTCTCTAAAAGATACATTTGATTTATTTTTCCAGCTAGATAATGTATGTATGTAGAGTAAAATTCTAAAGTCAAAACTAGCTTTAAAAAAAAATCTATACCAGTTCTTTGCCACCCTTAAGGCAGTTATTATTAGGACCCCACATAGCTTTCTAAAGATATTTTATAGGGCTGGCCCGATAGCTCAGCAGACTAAAGCACCTACTTAGGCAGAGCACAGCAGCTGGGATTCAATCCCCGCCCCACCATGTGGCCCCACCCCGCCGTGTGGCCCCGCCCCACCGTGTGGCCCCGCCCATGGAGTGCACTGACTGCGATTGAGACTGGGCATGGTGACGCGTGTCTGTAATCCCAGCACTTAGGAAGCTGAAAAGAGAAGAATCACAACAAGTCTAATCCATGTAGTGAGACCCTGTAGACCCTGTCCTAAATACAGAAAAAAAAGAAAGATATTTTATATACATACCCTTCATATGTATACATTTTTATGTATCTTAACACACTATACATACTAATTTGCGTTCTTACAATATGGCTTGGAGATTGCACCATACCCGTACTCACAGAGCTACCTTGTTTGGAACAGCTGCCAGTGTATGTAACGTAGTCTAAGTAAGCAGAAACCCTACTGAGGAGCATTTGGGTTGCTTCTGACCTTTGACTAGTACAAGGAATGCTGCAGTGAATATTCTTGAGCATTTATCATTTTTCACAGGTGGAAACAATTGGGGACAAACTGAAATAGATATTTTTAGATCATTTATGTGAACTTTCGAAAGTTTGAAAGATATTGTCAGAAAAATGACTACATGCATAGGTCTTAATATGTTAAATTTTATTTAAGTTTTTCTTTACATTTCATTAAAAGTACTTACCATAATTTTTTTTTTTCTCAACCAACAGGCTTGCTTTGTATTCTCTTTAATTTGGTCCGTTGGGGGAAGCTGTGATACAGATGGTCGTGTTGCTTTTGACACTTTCATACGCTTAATTACCATGGGGAAAGATGAAGAAAATCCAGTACCAGCCTGTGTGGGTAAATGGGAATGCCCATTTGATGAAAAGGGCCTGGTCTATGACTACATGTATGAGGTACGACATAAAGTGCTTGTCACGACAAGATGTTTTGATTCTTGAATTGTGCCTTTCAGTCCCTTCTCTGTACTTGTCTATACCTTGTGGCAGCGTAGATCAACTTGCTTTAATAATATTTCTTTTGTTTTATTTTATAAAATAATAAAATATTCTTTAACCAACAAGTACTCAAATAATCATTTTATTTATACAAATTTTATTTTATAGCCTCTAAAATCAGAATAGAATCTTAGCTATAGTGTTGCCTACATTATGGAAGCTTGGAAAGGGGATAACAAGCAGAGCCAGCCTTGAGCCCAGCTCTGCTGACTAAGTGGTTCAGGACTCTTTCCCTGTGTGCCTGTAATCCCAGCACTAGGCAGGCAGAAATAGTGGGATCACTACCAGTCTGTGCTGTGTAGTGAGACCCTGCACACACACACACAGAGCCCTAAAAAATAAAATTAAATTAAATTTTAAAATGCAGTAGTAACTACATTTTTACCTACACTTGTAAAATTACCATCATTCAGATACGTACCATAGACATATAGAAGTTGATAGAAAATAGAAAAAGATTATTAGAGCCAGTCATAGCCCTAAAGCAAGGTCGTAGGTTTTCGTTAGCTTGCCATGTAGTTACCCTTTTATTCCTTGGTAGTGGGAGGCTGGGATATCCAGGGAAAGGGAAGGACAATCCAGAGAAGAAATAATGGTTGAGGGTGATGCAGATTGGAAGGCAGTCGGGGCGTGTCAGCACAGCGGCTCATTTCGCCCAGTGCTTCAGGAGAATTCTAGTGCTGTAACACTTAGCACACCATGATGTGTGTCCTGGTTGAGCATCAGGCTGGACTGAAATGCCAGAGGATAATTTTAGAGAAAAATATAGAGAGAATTCATGTGATAATTTGTTTTGGGCTAGACTGCTGTTCCTGTAAATTATGAAATCAAAGTCTAGTAAATTGTAGCAAGGTACATTAGAGTGGCCCTTAAATAAATATTTGATATGCACAGAAAGATATCTTAAAGATATTTTGAGAAGACTGAAGTATAGAGGATATAGGGGCAAATATATTTGAAATTCTAGATATGTTGAATTGGTAATAAAATGTCACTGATTTTTTAATTATCATTTGAAAAGGAAAATCCAAAGAAAATAAATATATTCCTTAAGTTGGGTGGTAAATTCATGCATGTTAACCTCATTACTTTATGACTTACAGATATTACTTACATTCTTTTATAGGAATTGATATTTCATTGCAAAAGAATGAAAAGATTAAATATTTTAAAAGGAAGCAATGTAAATATTGAAAAGAGCCTTTAAGATATACAAATACTTGATTATAACACTCTCATATTCTTTTGTAGTTGAAAAACCGAGGTCGCTGGCTACATTGGAATGAGTTAATCAAAAGTACTACTTTAGAAGATAAACATGTCAATATCCAAGATATCATAGTCCCTACAATGGATACAATTAGATACACATTTCTTATGGATTTAAGTATTACCTCTGAGAAGTAAGGAACTCTGCTAGAAACATGGATTTTGAGTGTAATGGTGCCGTTCTAATAGGATTTTGGCAATTTTGAAGTAAACTTTGAGATCATCCAGCAGCCTAGACCTGGGGAGACTAATTGACATGTCCAAGGTGACACGCGTTGTTAATGATAAACCTAGAATCCAGGTCTCCTATTGCCTGCTCCAACGATCTTGTCATTATACTTTGTTACCTTGCAAGCCACCTCATACCAACAGAGGAAAAGACAATTGCAGTGCTATGGCTAACATGACGCATGCTGTGTACAGGTTCTGTGTATTCCTGAGATAGCAAACCAACCATGATCTGCATTCTCCCATCATACTTAGAATTTTTCTAACATGTCCTATGACAGTTCTGGATTT